AGGAGCAGGGCCTCCCCAGCAGCTGAGGGCCTCTTCCTCGTGCTCACGCTGGGGCTGGTGGTCAGGGCCTCTACTCCTTGGAGGCCATGTGGACCATGAGGTCCACCACCCTGTTGCTGTAGCCAAATTCATTGTCATACCAGAAAATGAGCTTGACAAAGTGGTCATTGAGGGCAATGCCAGCCCCAGCATCGAAGGTGGAGGAGTGGGTGTCTCTGTTGAAGTTGCAGGAGATGACCTGGTCCTCAGTGTAGCCCAGGATGCCCTTCAGGGGGCCCTGCAACACCTGCTTCACCACCTTCTTGATGTCATCATATTTGGCAGCTTTCTCCAGGTGGCAGGTCAGGTCCATGACCGACACGTTGGGGGTGGGGACATGGAAGGCCATGCCAGTGAGCTTCCCGTTCAGCTCTGGGATGACCTTGCCCACAGCCTTGGCAGCTCCATCGATGCTGGGATGATGTTCTGGGCAGCCCCATGGCCATCACGCCACAGCTTCCCTGAGGGGCTGTCCACAGTCTTCTGGGTGGCAGTGATGGCATGGACTGTGGTCATGAGTCCCTCCGTGATGCCAAAGTTGTTGTGGATGACCTTGGCCAGAGGGCCAAGCAGTTGGTGGTGCAGGAGGCACTGCTGACAATCTTCAGGGAGTTGTTGTACTTCTCGTGGTTCACACCCATCACAAACATGGGGGCGTCAGCAGAAGGGGCAGAGAAGATAACCCTTTTGCCCCCCTCTTCAAGTGAGCCCCAGGCTTCTCCTGGAGGTGAAGACACCAGTGGACTCCACAACATACTCAGCACCAGCATCACCCCCTCTGATGTTGGCGGGATCTCGCTCCTGGAAGATGGTGATGGACTTCCCCTCGATGACAGGCTTCCCGTTCTCGGCCTTGATGGTGCCATTGAACTTGCCATGGGTGGAATCATAATGGAACACGTAGACCATGTAGTTCAAGTCAATGAAGGGGTCATTGATGGCCACGACATCCGCTTTGTCAGAGTTGAAGGCAGCCCTGGTGACCAGGCACCCAATACGGCCAAATCCACTTACTCCGACCTTTACCATCGTGTCTCTGGGACGCGGCTGGCACTACACGGGAAGAAGAAGGGGAGGAGCAGAAAGTCTAGGGTTATTATTTTTTTTAATTTGATAGAGGTTGTGTGTACTTGGCAGAGAGAGAAAGTGAGAAAGCACTCTCCCAGGGGATGTGGTCATGCCACAATTCCTTCTCCTCCTTTCTCCTCTTGGGATTTTGGGCATGAACACACACATCCCCAGCGTGTTTTTCAAGCTGCCAAGGCTGGGACTCAAACTATGCAGTTGGCTATGTGGGATCCAGTCTCCATGTGTGTACCGCTCATGTCACCAGTTGGCCCCCTCCTAGAGTTATTGAGAAAAGAAAATGAGATCATGATTGTAAAATGTTCAGCATCATGCCTGGCACAGATTAAAGTACCCAGGACTAGGAGCTGGAATTAACAAATGCAAAGGAGATATCTGAGAGGGGAAACAGTTGTTTGGTTGTTCATCTGCGGTCGTGTCTGAGGGCTATGTGTTTGCACATTGGTGTGTATGTTTGCACACACCTCACCAGCATTGCATGCCGTGCTTTTAATATGAAAGATTGGAGTGCAGGGAGAAAACCTCTTTCACTCTGAATTTCTATGTTTGTTCTGTGTTTGAGCGATAAATAACTGGAATGCAAAGGGTGGGAAATGCCATTAGCAAAACCTGGGGCTGTTTCTGTGTATCTTGGCTTTTTATTTATTTATTTATATTTTTTCTGAGAGAGATTTTTTTCCCTGCATTTTCAGGAGAGACAAAGAGACAGAAAGCGAGAAATCATCCCCCATGGGGGATGGCTACTCCGCAATCCCTTCTCCTCTGTTTTCCTGTTGGGATGTCACGTATGAGCCTGGCATGAGTTTCAAGCTGCCCCAGGTCCGGGACTGGAACTGCGCTCAGCCATGTGGGAGTCTAGCAATGTAACCATTACGCCATCTGCTGGTCCTGTATTTTGACATCTTTGAAAGAACCAATATATGTATCTTCTAGAAATGTAGGCATGTGTCTTTTACGCTGGCATGAAAACATCTTTGTCAACCTGTGTCCTTTAGGATATGCCATGTGTAGGACCAGCAGTTGGCGTAATGGATATGTTGCTGAACTCCCATGTTATCGACCACGGTTCGAGTTCCGGACCTGGTGGCTTAAACTCACATCGGGCACGTGTTTGTGTGTGCCCAAGATCCTAAAAGGAGAATGGGGGGGGGGTGACTTCTCGCTTCCTCTCTCTGTGTCTCTGTCTTTCTGGCGAGCGCATGCACCTTATTAAAAAAAAAAAAGGATATGCCGTGTGTGTGTGTGTGTGTGTGTGTGTGTGTGTGTGTGTGTGTGTATACTGAGACTGAGACTGTGACTTCTGGGAATCCTATGTCTGCAGAGGTGAGTGTACCACTCTTGCCTGTAAATGCCTATGGGTAGGTATTTTGCTGTAAAGATGTGGGATCTGAGAGTGGGGATCTGAGGCCATACATCTATACATAGGTCTGGAGCTGAGTGACGGCCCATGCTCTTCCAAGAATTGATACGTGTTCACACGTAAGAACAATTGTGTGGCAATGTTTACATCTGCAAATGAGGGCAATTATGGAGGCGATGGTATGTGTGATGGGGTGGGTGGGCTGTTGGGGTGTCTGTGGGCCTGGATCTGAGTGTGCGTATTTGTTTTTAGAAGAGGACGCATAGTGACATGTGTCTTTGTGTGGAGAAGGAAGCTGAGGTGTTTCCTTGCGTCCGTATGCTGCAGAGTGTTAGTGTATTCAAGGCTCATCTTTTGAGTTTGAGGGCTCTGTGTCTGTGAGTTTGGGGGCTGTATCTCCTATCTAAATGTTTGGGCCTCCCTGCCTTTGCTGTTACTCATTCTCAGGAGAATTCTGCAAAAGATGAGGTGGACATGGATGGTGTGGCCCAGCAAATCCTGAAGGGAAGGAGGATGTCTGTAGCAATCTCTCTCAGGAGAACTTAGAGAACTACCAAGCCCTCCCACTAACACTGCCCTCCCAGCCCAGCCTCCTTCAGTCCTGAGGCGCTGGTGCACTCTCTGGTTGTTGTGGAACAAGGTGCCTGTGCAGGTGTGTGTGTGTGGATGCCTTGTGCCCGAGCAAATAATGTGAGCAGGTATTCACTGGCATCGGTAAGCCCGCAACTGTACCAGGCATGTGGTTGCATCGACAGATAGAACATGGGGCCATCTCTGCAGATGGTATAACCACGGGTCTCTCTTTTACCTGTGAGTGTGCTGGGCCCCAGGGCAGAGGTGCCCCTTGAGCGAGGGGTGGCAGTGAGAGCTGTGTGAACGCGTGCCTTTGTATGTCAGGATGTCTCTGAGTCTCTCGATCAACAACTTGGAGTTTCTGTGTGTCTGCGTGTCTGTGTGTGTATGTCTCTGGGTCTCTGACTCGCTGTGTGTGTCTCGCTCTCCCTTAGCGGGGAGGGGATTGGTCACGCATGACTCATCTTGAACTGAGCGGGGCTCCAGCGGCAAGGAGGCCGCTGCCGCAGCTGGAGGGGGAG